CCCCAAAACCCCAAAACCCCAAAACCCCAAAACCCCAAAACCCCTAACGATTATTCTAAATTGTCATAATTATTATTAATATGAGTGTCAAGGTGGCTGTCAGAGTCAGACCCTTCAATGATAGGGAGAAACAGAAGAATCCTAAGTGTTGTATAAAAATGCAAGGACCCAGTACATTAATCACTGACCCTAAAACCGGCAAGGATCGGACCTTTACCTTCGATTATTCCTTCTGGTCCCATGATGGATTCACAGAGGAAGCAGATGGACTCCTTGTTCCTTCCGGTACTCAATATGATGATCAGGAGAAGGTTTACAATCAACTTGGTAAGGAAGTCCTTGACAATGCCTGGGATGGATACCATTGCTGTCTCTTCGCTTACGGTCAAACAGGTAGTGGCAAAAGTTATTCTATGATTGGATATGGAGCTAACAAAGGTATTGTTCCTAAAGCTATGAATGAAGTTTTTGAAAGAATGAAAGCAACCACCACTAAAGATAAATGGTATGAGGTTAGTGTCAGTATGCTTGAAATTTACAATGAGTGTGTCCAAGATCTTCTCGCAGATCCAGATAAAAGACCATCCAAGGGACTTAACATCAGGCAGTCTAAGGTGAGAGGGGTCTATGTTCAAAATCTCTCCCAGCATCCAGTTCCAAGCTTCGAAGCTATTGAGAAAATCATGGAGGAGGGTAACAAAAACAGATCTATTGGATCAACAGAAATGAACAAAACTTCTTCACGAGCACATACTATCATCACTCTTTCTTTCAAACAATTTGAAATTATTGACGGGAAAACTACCGAAAGATTCTCCAATATAAATCTGGTCGACTTGGCTGGATCTGAGAGAGCCAAGAGTACCAAGGCTACCAAAGAGAGGCTCAAAGAAGGATGTAACATCAATCTCAGTCTTACCGTTCTCGGACAGGTCATCAACGTGCTTGCTGAGAAATCCATGGGGAATAAGAAGAATGCAGTGGTTCCATACAGAGAATCAGCTCTGACCAGGATTCTCTCGAATGCTTTGGGAGGTAACTCGAAGACTATTATGATCTGCGCCATCTCTCCAGCTGAGCTTAACTATGACGAAAGTTTGAACACCCTGAAATATGCTGAGAGAGCTAAGAAAGTCAAGAACGTAGCTGTAGTGAATGAAAGCGCTCAAGACAAAATGATCAGAGAACTCAGAGAAGAGAATGACAAACTCAAAAAGCTCCTTATGGCTGCAACACAAGGTGGTGCTATTGACATGAACGATCCAGATTTCTTAGCTCGTCTTGGAGCATTTGGAATTGAATCCAAGCCAGGAACCAACAACCCAGAAGAAGAGATTAAGGAAAAACTTGAAGATAATGAAAAAGAGGTGAAGAATATGGAGATTTCATGGAAAGATAAGCTTGAAGAAGAGAAGAAATGGGAGAATGAAAGAGAAGTTCAAGACAAAACTCTTCCTCATTTAACTAACCTGAACGAGGATCCTCAACTTTCAGGGATGCTTTATTATAACCTCTTGGAGTCTCCCATTCATGTCGGAAGGAAAACAGGAAATCCTAAGCCAACTATCACTATTGGAGGAATAGGCATTTTGCCAAACCATTGTGTCTTTGAGATGGTAAGTAGACATCCAAGATCTTTCAAAAAATTTCCAATTAGGAGAAGTTACAAATTCTAGAAGGTTTTCCAGTAAAATGCTTTATACTATAACTAAACTAGAGTTACATATCTAGTACTATCTCCAAGTTGCTAATCCATGAGAACATCACACTTACATAATTCAATTACTAATAGATTAGAAATATCTTCTAAGCAACTCTCTCACCTTATTATAGGAGCCAAAAGAACTCCCAAAGGAGGAGGCTAAGGAAGAATCCCAAGAAGAGGAAAAAGAGCCAGATGAATCTGAGGGAAATGCAGAGTCTCCAGAAACTCCAGAAACCCCATCTGAGGAAAAAGTCCTTCCAAAGTTCTACCTCCGCCCTTGTGCAGAAGAAGCATGTGACTCGATCTTCGTCAATGGTGAGAATCTTAACGAAGAGGGTGTGTTACTAAACCATAATGACAGGATTATTTTCGGTAACAACACTGTATTCCTGTTCAAATACCCTGAGCTCCACAAGCAACTCACAGGTGAAGATGTAGTAAGCAAGGCTTCATCTCTTGAAGAAGAGAAAATCCCTGAAGAAGAAAAAGGTGACTCTAAAGAAATCGACTGGGAATTCGTCCTGAACGAAAAGATGTCCAAAGCTGACAAAATCCGTAAAGAAGAGCAAGAGCGTGAAGAAAAGGCTAAGATGGAAGAACACCAAAAAAAAGTGGCCGCAGAGAAGAAACACATGGAAGACGAAATGAAGAAGAAGCAGGAAGAAATGGAAGACAAAATGAGAGAACTAGGTAAGTACACTTGCATTAAGCATGGCTTAATATTTTAGAAAAACAAATGCTTGTTGCCGAAGAAGAGAAAAGACAGCAATATGAGAAGGAACTAGAGGACGCAGAGAGACTAATGATCGAGAAGATCGAAGCAATGGAGAAGGAAAGAATAGAACGGGAGAAACAACAACAAAAGGAACTTGAAGACCAAGAAGTTATCATAAAGGAAAGGCAGAAGGAGAACGAGACACTAGAGACTAAGTTGTCTCAGCTGATGCCATTGATAAATGAAGCTAACCTCTGAGCGAAAGAATTTAATAAAAATGTTATCTTTGAGACTAAGTTGATTAGTGTCATTCCTGAGGATATCAACAAGAGCCCAATCGAAATGCTTAAAAATAGGAAAGTTGAAATTCATGTCAAGGTTGAGAATAAAGACAGAGGCGATGTCTATCTTTGGGACATGGAAACCTTCATGGATAGACTTCTTGTGATCAGAGAGTGTGTTCATAACTATTTCGATACAAATATTGTTCCATCAATGGAAGGAAAGGATGACCCATTCTGGGATCCCCCTCAACCTCAGCTTATTGGACAAGGGTATTATAAGCTCGAGCCTCTGGCTTATCTAATTGATAATCCCCATACTGTTAGTCTTATCGGAAGCGATCAGAAAGGATTAGTAGGTAAAATGGAAGTAAATATTCTACCAACTGACGAAACTGGATGGGATGATCCTCCAGAAGACTTAATCCCATACCAGCCTGAAGATCTTATTGACAAAAGGATTGACTTTGCTGTCATAATTGAAAGGGCTATTGACCTCCCAGCCAATTTCTGAAGAGACGTCTATTGTGAATACAGTTTCTACTTGGATGATCAGACATATGCCACCCCTGTGATTCCAGGAAAGCATCAATCACCTGTTTTTGACTACAGATTCCATCATAACTTAATGATAACAGAGTCCACCATAAAATACCTAAAGAACAATGCTATCTGCTTCAAAGTGTTTGGAAGCCCAGATAATGAGCATAGGCCATACTTTGAGCCTGATAGTGGAGAAGGGTCCACTTTCCAAGCCTCTGAAGAATCTAAAGAAATAGACACTACAGCTGGGGAAGCTCCTTCTGAAGACTTCTCCCTTAAAGACAACTTTGTGAATAACATCAGCTCAGAAAACGAAAACGAAAACAAATCTTATGAAGAAAAGAGCAAAGTCAAGAATTATCAAGAGCCAGAGCAAGAAGATGTTGATCTTGCCAGAGCTGACGAAGAGCCTCATGAAGAGCTTGAACCTCAAGCTGAAGAACCAGAAGAGGATGCCCCGAAACGTATTGAAGGCAACAATGCAAACTTTGATGAGATGTTTATCTACGGAGGTCAACCAAATGTTGATGCAGACGGTGACGATTTTGGATCAAGGACTTATTCCCAAAGTGTCTACCAACAACCAAAAGCCTTAATCTCAGATCATGAGAAGGCAGAATATATTGCTAGTCATCCTAGAGATGACCATTTCATTGACTCGACCTCGGCTGGTAGTGGAAAGAAGGGCAAGAAAGGAAAGAAAGAGAAGAAAGGCAAGAAAGGTAAAAAGGATAAAGACTGTGTTATATTCTAATCTTACCTGTTGCAATAAGTAACTCTCTCTACGGGGTTTTGGGGTTTTGGGGTTTTGGGGTTTTGGGG